GTTGGATTTATACCCTGCTTTTCTCTACCTTAGTCACAAAATCGCTCACAATCGCATTCCCTTCCTCTTGTCTCAACAGACACCCTGTGAGGTAGCTGCGGCTGAGAGAGTTCTGAGAGAACTGTGACTGGCCCAAGGTCACCCAATAGGCCTTGTGTGGAGGAGTGGGCAATCAAACCTCATTCTGCTGCTCTTAACGGATATACCACACTGACAGACAGGTATCCTAGTGATATCACACCCCGCTGAGCACTCTACCCTCCCCAAACTCTGCCCTCCCCGATACCGCTTCCCAGAGTTGGCAGTGCTAAGCATGCGATAAGAGGATGGAAGCATACCTTCATTGACAGGAGGTGGTGGAGGCGGTAGTTCTCTTTTTTCTGTAACAAAGGGAGAGATTTGCGAAGAGGGGGATAGGATTCAGCAGGGCTTTTCTTGTAGAAAAAACCAAGCAGGAACTCATTAGCATGCTTAGAGTCATCAGGTGACTCTAAAAAATGGCCTAATATGGGATATAGAAGATCCTGACGGGATGCCAAATAGAGAGGGCACTGGAAGAGAACATGGACAACAGTTTCAACACAATCCTTCCTACAAGGACAGCACCTGCTAGGATAGGGAATCCATAGAGTCTAGGAGAAACAGGTATCCTAGTGATATCACACCCTGCTGAGCTCTCTACCCTCCACAAACTCTGCCCTCCCTGATACCGCTTCCCAGAGTTGGCAGTGCTAAGCACGCGATAAGAGGAAGGAAGCATACCTTCGTTGACAGGAGGTGGTGGAGGCGGTAGTTCTCTTTTTTCTGTAACAAAGGGAGAGGTTTGTGAAGAGGGGGATAGGATTCAGCAGGGCTTTTCTTGTAGAAAAAGCCAAGCAGGAACTCATTAGCATAATAGGTCACACACAACAGCAGAAACCCATTAACATTTTAGGCCACACCCCATGCCTTCCCTTGGCTCGCCTGGCCGCCCCACAGTTGTGGGGACCCTCTGTAACCATGCATGCAGAGGTTTTGGCTGTAGTGGGCGTGGCCAGCTCTGAAGCCAGATGGAACTCCGTTCCTGTGCGTTCCTGCCCAAAAATAACCCTGGGATCCAGTGCCTTCATGCCCAACTTCTCCAAACGATGAGAAGTCCTGTCCCAGATTAAACATTGACCTAGGCTGGTTCCCCTTGGATGAGAGGGAGCACTGGAGATTTATGGGGGGGGAAACATGCTTCCCAAGAGCATCTGAGCCAGCACAAATAGCCACGTGGAAGTGACTGCTCCTTCAGGGCTCTTTTTGTAGCAGGAGCTCCTTTGCATATTAGGCCACACACCCCTAATGTAGCCAATCCTCCAAGAACATACAGAGTTCTTCTTACAGGGGCTACTGTAAACTCTTGGAGGATTGGCTACATTAGGGGTGTGTCCAGGGCTCTACTTTGCATATTAGGCCACACACCCCTAGTGTAGCCATTCCTCCAAGAGCTTACAGTAGCCCCAGTAAGAAGAGCTCTGTAAGCTCTTGGAGGATTGGCTACACTAGGGGGTGTAGCCTAATATGCAAAGGAGCTCCTGCTACCAGTAGAGCCACTGTCGCCTAATATGCAAAGGAGTTCCGGCTACAAAAAGAGCCCCTTTTTCTCCACCACCCCTTTTATGGATAACAGCCACAGCGGCTTTTATCTCACACGCAAATCCAGGTGGACTGTTCAATTCTTTCCTCCCACTCAGCTTTCCCACTGAAAATTTCCCTTCCTGCTCTGCTTTTACCGTCACCGTGGAAAACTGCGATGACGGAAACGACGTCACCGGGCTGGGGAATCCCTGTAGGATTCCACTGAAACCCTGATGCGATGATGTCACTTCCTGGTTTGCAATAGAAGTGATGTTCTGCTGCTGGAGTGATGGCAATTCCCCCCGCTTTCTCCTCCCCCGGCAGCAGTGGGGGTCAGGGGCTGCCAGCAGGACGTGTCCCACTATAGCACGAGACCTGGCAGCCCTTGAGATGGATGAGGCCCTACAGCACTGGTGATGTCATTTCCGGGTTCTGACATCCGGGAAGTGACATCAATACATGACTGATATCCTTTTCCCTCCATGCCCCTCCCTCAAAGTGTCCCGAGAGGTTCTAGGCATGAGCCTGCCAACCCTAAATGTACCTCAGAATGAGGCGGTAGGTTGGGGGTACAAGTAGATGAGGTGGCCGGAGATGGATCGGCTCTCCTGCTTTTTTTGGAGAGTTAATAGCAGGGGTGGGAAGCCTGATTCAGGTGGACCGATGACACTGCTGGGGGGGATCAACCCTTTCTTCCCCTGCCATTTCCCCACACAAATAGTCTCCGCCCCTGAGCTCTTATTTAGCCCACAGAAGAAACCACAGAAGCAGCAAAAGTGCTTAAATGTTCCCTCCCAGCAGCCCCTGCTCCATTTTAAAACCAGCCCTTCAGCTGCTTTTAGGAGACAAAATGGCCGCCATGGCACCTTTGCTCATTATGTGAAATTTGCCCCTCGAGTGGCCCTAGGGTTGCCACCTCTGGGTTGGGAGATACCTAGAGATTTGGGGGGGTGGAGCCTGAGGAGGGCACAGTTTGGGAAGGGGCGGGGCTTTGATGGGGCATAATACCATAGAGTCCACCTTCCAGTCCAGAGCAGCTGTTTTCTCCAGGCGAACTGATCTGTGTCGCCTGGAGATCAGCTGAAGTAACAGGAGATCATCTCCAGCCGCTGCCTGGAGGCTGGCAACCCTAAGTGGCCCACCGCACCACAACAGAACGTTCTTTTCCAGAGCGGCCATTTTGAAGGAAGGACACACCGCTTCCTAAGAGGAAAGGGCCTCACAGGAGACTGTGTCCCTCTTCTTCCTTGCCTGAGTCCCAGCCTACCTGTCCTGTGGCTCCTCTTCTGTATCTTCTCTTCCACTATTTGCTGAAAGTCAAGGGCCTCGTCCTCATCGGCAAAGCTGAGCCCCACTTGGCACTCCTGCAAGCAACCAGAATGCAATGCTGTAGCTAAAGAACCCTTGCTGTCCCCCACAACGCCACACATCGCCAGCTCCCCCATCATAGCTCCGCACACCAGTGACAGTAGCTGGTAGTAATAACTGAACCCAGTAGTCACTGGACCCAACCCTGTTCTTTTAGGTGGGAATGCCTCCCCCTCCAGTGCCTTTTTCCTATGACACTCCACACACACACGCATATGCCCCCAATACCCGTACTCACATCTCCTGGAAAGGTGTGGAAGTAAGAGGTGGCAGCAGTGTAGGCCATCTGGTTGTACAGTTCCTGCTCCCAGATCATCTTCCTATCCTGCAACACACAGTCAGCCACAGGGACTCCTATTAGTTTACAGCAGAGGTCCCCAACCTTTTCGAGCCTGTGGGTGACTCTGCCATTCTGACACAGCGTGGTGGGCACAGCACCAAAATGGCTGCCACAAAATGGCTGCCACAGGAGGCGGAGCCAGACACAAAATGGCTGCGGCAGCTTTTCTTCAGTCAGACAGTCAAGATCCATATGTCGCGGCGGCAGGTGCTGCCAAACTAACTTAAAAAAAAAATTGTACAGCCAATCAAATCTCCAATGGCCAGTTAGAATCTCCAATGACCAACTGGCCCCTTGCGCTTTCTAAAAACACTTGGTGGGTGCCGTGGTGCTCACAGGGACCATGTTAGGAACTCCTGGTTCATAGTTTGCTTTGTCCATCTGTTCCCACATGTAGGATATGTCGGATATTAAAGTCCTGATATAAAATTTAACAGTCAGAGACTGATTCCCCACAAGCAGCTGTGCCGCTGTCGCTCTTCAGTTTCCCCCAGTCATATCGGTCAATTTCACACTATTCGCTGCGTGGCCACATTTTGACCCGCATCTCCCCCCGATTTCCTCTGCGTCTTCTCGATCCTCAAAAAAAACCAGGACGCTGGGGGCGAGGCCATAGCCATTTGAGGGGAAAACATAGAGTTTTCCCCTCAGATGGCTGTGGCCCCGCCCCCAGCATGCCTGGCATCAGCACGTCAACGCAGCGGGGGAAATCTGCCCCCCGGGGGGAATTGGCAGCCCTATATAGACATGTCACAGCAATGTCGGCTGGGCCTCCCTCCTGCTCCCCTTAAGTTCCAGACCTGGCAACGCTATTCTTAAATTGTACAGGCCTGAGTTTAGGGTTGCTAAGTCCTACCTTCATTATATTGGGGGAGTCCCGTACCCCATCCGGGAGTTATTTCGCGTTGCACAAAGCACGCGGCGTGATGACATCACCCGGAAGTTGCGTCATCATGCTGGGCACGTCACCCAGGCGACGCTCTAGCAATCAGCCTAAAAACTCTATGGTACCATAGAGTTTTCAGACTGATTGCTAGAGCGCTGCCCGGCAACGTGCCCAGCGTGATGACATCACTTTGGGGGTGGGGTTCCCCCTGCCGGCTGGATCCGGACCGGCAGGTTGGGGGCCCTTTTGGTGGGAAAACTCCCCCCCCCCGGGGGACCTGGCAGCCCTACCTGAGTTTGAAGTAGTAGAAAAGAGCAGTAGCGCCTTAAAGACTAACAAAATCTGTGGCAGGGTTTGAGCTTTCATGAGTCACTGCTCACTTTTTCAGAAGCTTCAGAGCAGTGACTCACAAAAGCTCCTCCCATGCCTCAAACCTTGTTAGTCTTTAAGGTGCCACTGGACCCTTGCTCTTTTCTACTGCCACAGACAGACAGACACGGCTACCCATCTTGAGTAGGAAGTGTTCCAGTCTATCTCCATCATTCCGTAGAGGATTTCATTCAGTTTCAAACTGAGCAGTGCCTTGCAAGAGATCGTAGAAATACAAAATGGCGGCACAAAATCACATGAGTGAACGAGGAGCTAACGGTCCATAAGCCTCTGCTGGAGATGCGATGCAGGGCCAGGCCGTGACGGAGGCTGGTACCTTCAGATCGTAGAAGCGAACGAAGTACGAACGCCTGGGATTATCCTTCACGAAGCACAGGACTCCACAGCCTTGCTTGGACCAGATTCTGCTGCTCTGGGGCAAGGCCAAGAACAGCTGGGCTACCGTGGTGACCATGGTCTAGGAGGAAAGAACAAGGGGAACATTATGGATCTCCCTGGGTTCAGGGCACAAAGGGAGGAAGTACCAACAGAAAACGTTGATCCAAGACTTGCAAGCATGGGCAACCTCTGGAAAACACCCCCAAAAATCTATATTCCTTCTCTCCAGCTAATCCTCCTGTAAAGAAAAATGGTTCCTTGCTCTGTCCTGTAAAATCTTTGGTTCAGGCTGTGTAGAGGCCTGCAAGAGATTTCCCAGAGACAGTTAGAGATAGCACGGTGACCTTCCCAGAGCTAAACTGTTTTCAGCTGAGAGGGGTATAGGGTTGCCAGGTCCCCGGGGGAGGGGGGAACCTCTGCTCGATGGGTCCATTCCCCACTGGCCCGGATCGGGCCACTGGGGGAAACCCCACCCCCAAAGTTCCGGGAGCATGGAGACGTGCCCGGCGTGATGACGTCACCCGGACGTGACATCATCGCGTCAGGCACATTACGGGGGGACGCTCTATCATTTGAGTGAAAACTCTATGGTTTCCCCTCGAATGATAGTGGCCCCACCCCCAACGTGCCCGACACTATGACGTCACCTCTGGGTGACACTGTGACGTCATCATGCCACCCAGCACGCATGCCGAAGAACTCCCGGGGAGGGCCAGTGTAACAGGCCGGATTAACCCCCCGGCCAGAGTAACCCCGGGGTTACTCTGGCCTAGGCTAGAGTAACCCCGGGTTAATCTGGCTGGCTGTAACAGGCCAGATTCACCCCCCGGCCAGAGTAACCCCGGGGTTACTCTGGCCTAGCCTAGAATAACCCCGGAGGGGTTATTGAGGGGTTATTCTGGCCTAGGCTAGAGTAACCCCGGGTTAATCTGGCTGGCTGTAACAGGCCAGATTCACCCCCCGGCCAGAGTAACCCCGGGGTTACTCTGGCCGGGGGGTTAATCTGGCCTGTTACACCGGGACTCCCCCCACTAAAGACAAGGTAGGACTTGGCAACCATAGAGTGGTACCAACCGCCCTTGAAGCTCCAAATTAGCACATTCTAAGCAATTGAGCTCTAGACACCTCGAATGATAGTGGCCCCACCCCCAACGTGCCCGACACTATGACGTCACCTCTGGGTGACACTGTGACGTCATCATGCCACCCAGCACGCATGCCGAAGAACTCCCGGGGAGGGCCAGTGTAACAGGCCGGATTACCCCCCCGGCCAGAGTAACCCCGGGGTTACTCTGGCCGGGGGGTTAATCTGGCCTGTTACACCGGGACTCCCCCCACTAAAGACAAGGTAGGACTTGGCAACCATAGAGTGGTACCAACCGCCCTTGAAGCTCCAAATTAGCACATTCTAAGCAATTGAGCTCTAGACACCTCGAATGATAGTGGCCCCACCCCCAACGTGCCCGACACTATGACGTCACCTCTGGGTGACACTGTGACGTCATCATGCCACCCAGCACGCATGCCGAAGAACTCCCGGGGAGGGCCAGTGTAACAGGCCGGATTACCCCCCCGGCCAGAGTAACCCCGGGGTTACTCTGGCCGGGGGGTTAATCTGGCCTGTTACACCGGGACTCCCCCCACTAAAGACAAGGTAGGACTTGGCAACCATAGAGTGGTACCAACCGCCCTTGAAGCTCCAAATTAGCACATTCTAAGCAATTGAGCTCTAGACACCTCGAATGATAGTGGCCCCACCCCCAACGTGCCCGACACTATGACGTCACCTCTGGGTGACACTGTGACGTCATCATGCCACCCAGCACGCATGCCGAAGAACTCCCGGGGAGGGCCAGTGTAACAGGCCGGATTACCCCCCCGGCCAGAGTAACCCCGGGGTTACTCTGGCCGGGGGGTTAATCTGGCCTGTTACACCGGGACTCCCCCCACTAAAGACAAGGTAGGACTTGGCAACCATAGAGTGGTACCAACCGCCCTTGAAGCTCCAAATTAGCACATTCTAAGCAATTGAGCTCTAGACACCTCGAATGATAGTGGCCCCACCCCCAACGTGCCCGACACTATGACGTCACCTCTGGGTGACACTGTGACGTCATCATGCCACCCAGCACGCATGCCGAAGAACTCCCGGGGAGGGCCAGTGTAACAGGCCGGATTACCCCCCCGGCCAGAGTAACCCCGGGGTTACTCTGGCCGGGGGGTTAATCTGGCCTGTTACACCGGGACTCCCCCCACTAAAGACAAGGTAGGACTTGGCAACCATAGAGTGGTACCAACCGCCCTTGAAGCTCCAAATTAGCACATTCTAAGCAATTGAGCTCTAGACACCTCGAATGATAGTGGCCCCACCCCCAACGTGCCCGACACTATGACGTCACCTCTGGGTGACACTGTGACGTCATCATGCCACCCAGCACGCATGCCGAAGAACTCCCGGGGAGGGCCAGTGTAACAGGCCGGATTACCCCCCCGGCCAGAGTAACCCCGGGGTTACTCTGGCCGGGGGGTTAATCTGGCCTGTTACACCGGGACTCCCCCCACTAAAGACAAGGTAGGACTTGGCAACCATAGAGTGGTACCAACCGCCCTTGAAGCTCCAAATTAGCACATTCTAAGCAATTGAGCTCTAGACACCTCGAATGATAGTGGCCCCACCCCCAACGTGCCCGACACTATGACGTCACCTCTGGGTGACACTGTGACGTCATCATGCCACCCAGCACGCATGCCGAAGAACTCCCGGGGAGGGCCAGTGTAACAGGCCGGATTACCCCCCCGGCCAGAGTAACCCCGGGGTTACTCTGGCCGGGGGGTTAATCTGGCCTGTTACACCGGGACTCCCCCCACTAAAGACAAGGTAGGACTTGGCAACCATAGAGTGGTACCAACCGCCCTTGAAGCTCCAAATTAGCACATTCTAAGCAATTGAGCTCTAGACACCTGTGCAGAGACGGGGCCTAGCTGCCGTATGGTTTCGCTTCTCTCCCTCTTGCTCTTGTCCAACTTGGGAAGTCATGTGCCTAGCAACTCAGAGAGTTACATCACCTCTTGGGTCAGTCAGAGACCCTTTTCCTATAAATCTAGTTAGCCTTACACTATGGCCGTGGAATCTTGTGAGCAAAAATTTGACTTTGGGAGGTACTGGCACTAAAGTTGTGAGCGAGCGATTTGGCGGCTGCATAAATTAGTTTGCTCTGGAGCCGTCCTTCCTGAGTTAAGACAAAAATGTGTGAGCCGGAGGCTAAAAAACTCTGAGCCGGCTCACACTGACTCAGCTTAGAGGGAACACTGCTGGCAACCCTAGTTAACTATGAAGGAAATGGTCTTCTGAGGCAGCTTATTTCTTTCAACAGGACCAGGAGTAATGACGAGCGACTCCAGGCCGGTTCTCGCTGTATGTCATCACTGCCTGAGCCCTTTTGGGGAAGTGGTTTTGTTGTTTTCGTTCCCTCCCCATTTCCTGCAGATGAAGCCGCATAGAAGCTGTGAGCTGCCGGACTCCCCCTTTTACACATCAGGTTTCTTGTCAGAGGCCCTTGGTCGCTTCTGTCACAAAGATGGAGGCTTTTAAAGACGTGTCAGTCAAACACGTCACTCCTCCAGGGTCGCCACCTGCTCGGTTTTTCAACCAACCCAATCAGGGTCATTTCTAAAACCGGCATCAACCCATGGCTGTTTAATAGGGTTGCCAGCCTCCAGGTGGCACCTGGAGACCTTCTGCTATTACAATTGATCTCCGGGCAACCAAGATCAGTTCCCCTGGAGAAAATGGCTGCCTGGGAGCGTGGACTCTATGGCATTATACCACGCTGAGGCCCCTCCCCTTCCTAAACCCCACCCTCCCCAGGCTCCACCCCTCCAAATCTCCAGGAATTTCCCAACATAGAGCTGGCTGCCCTACCATTCAAGTACATATTTAAATGACTCAACGCACCTCAAATGAGGTTCATAAAATTACACATGGAGCGGAGAAAGTGGACAGAGAGAAAGTTCTTCTCCCCGTCCCGTAATACTAGAACTTGGGAGCGCCCAAATGAAATTGAGGAGGATTCGATTGTGGACAGACAAAAAGAAAGAGTTCTTTACGCAATAAGGCATTCGTTTGTGGGATTCTAAGTTGTAGAGTCTTGTGAGCAGAAATTCTACTCTGTGAGCTACTGGCATTAAAGTTGTGAGAGAACGATTTGGCTGGTGCATCAGTTAGTTTGCTCTGGAGCCATCCGCCCTGAGAGAGGACAAAAATGTGTGAGCTGAAGGCTAAAAAACTATGAGCTAGCTCCCAATAGCTCAGCTTAGAGGGAATACTGGTGACGGTTTTAAAAGGAGCTTAGACAAATTCATGCATAGATGGTTTTAAAAGTGGGGATAGACAAGTTCATGGAAGAGAGGTCCATAAGTAGATACTGGCCATGGTGACTAAAGGGAACCTCCACCTTCAGAGGCAGTAAACCTCTCAATTCTAGATCTAGGAGGCAACCGGAGGGGGAAAAAAACAGAGCCTCTGTGCTCTGTTTGGTGGCCCTCCAGGGTAACTGGTTGACCACTGTGTGACAAAGGATGCTGGGTTAGATAGACCACTGGTCTGATCCTGCAGGGCCCCTCTTACATTCCTATGATAATCAAGGTGCTACTTCCATGACTGCTGTCTTCTTGTTTCCTGTGTCTGCATTCTGAGCCATAGGATCACTCATTAGCTGAATTACTCAGGAGTGTGTGTGTGTAAAATGCTGTCAGGTCTTACAAACTCTTTTCCCTCCCCCTCCCCACAACAGGCACACTGTGAGGTAGTTGGGGCTGAGAGAGCTCTTTCAAGAACTGCCCTCGAGAGAACAGCTGTGCCAGAACTATGGCTTGCCCAAGGTCATCCAGCAGCTGTAAGTGGAGGAGTGGGGAATCAAACCCGATTCTCCCAGATTAGAGTCCACGCACTTAACCACTACACCAAACTGGCACTTAACCGTGCACTTAACCACTACACCAAAAAAAGATTTTCACATTACCATTCTAAACCGAATATTATTCATTGGTGGCCTGATTTCAAGTAAAGTGATACAGGGATGGGGGTTTCATACAGTGAATTTCCTTCCGTTAATGAGCCGTTTCTGAAGCGCTATGGTCATTTCAAATAGTGCCGCTCTTTTTCCCGCCCTTTTTCGCCACAGAATCTTCCTCAGATTTTTTTTTTTTTTGGAACATTCTAAGTGGAGTGCTATAGCACTAAACCAATATTGTAGTTCAGTGCTATAGTGGCACCACTGAGATGCCTTGACTGATGGAGTCTGGGTCAAGGCATCGCGGTGTTGCCGCTATAGCACTAAAGTGCTATTTTGGTTTAGCACTATAGCACTCAACTTAGAATTAAAAAAAAAAGTCCACGGAAGATCGCATGGCGAAAAAGGCGGCGGGGGGGGGAGGCATTGTAGGAAATGCTATGGACATTTTAAACAGCACACCACAGCGATTCAGAAACACAACGAAGGGGTAGAAAACGGAAGAGAGCAGTTTCCCTCAAAAGCGGCTCAACCACGCTTTGCTAACCTGACCCAAGTGGGTTTGTATGAACAGGTAAATAGATTCCACTGGCAGCCCGTTACTAAAGCAGGTCTGTCTGAAAGGACACTGAGAAAAATCCTTTGGCAACCAGTTACTACAAAAACGGAATGCAAAGGCAGTTTGAAAAACACTCTGCTTTCACAGATTTGAGAATGACATTTTAAATGGCCAATCCCAGGTTTTAGGGGGCCCTGGGCAGACGGTGTCCGAGGGGGCCAATCTGCCCACTACCAGGGCCCCCCCACCTGCCCATACTTCCTTCTCCCACTTGCAAGCCCTCCCACCTCACGCGCTCAGCTGCCTACACCACCGATAACACCCTTTCCCCAACAGCACTGGCCAGTGGATGCAGCCGAGAGTTGCCCTGCCACGGCCACCAGAAATGCCACGACTGTGCACCACCAACGTGCCCTTCCTCAGTGATTATGGGCAGTTGGGAGCATGGGTACACACAGGCGGCAAGGGAGATGTCCGGGTGGGGGTCAGAGGCAGCAGGCCGCACCAGACATTCAGGGCCACCTCAGCTTCCCCACAACAGGGCATGTCGATGCCGGCCCGGCCATCTCAGCCCTCAACTCGCCAGTACCCCAGTCGCAAGCTCCTGCCCTCCTGCGGCCCCTGTGCCCCAGCACCCAGGAAAACCTCGAGGTCCTACCGAGGCTTCATTTCCCGTGACCGTGACCGAATTACCATGCACTTCCTGCCCAAGAGTTCGAACACTTGCTGGTTCTCGTGGTCTTTGAGTAAGGAGGAGGGCACGTTGTCGAGCTGGCCCCGGGCTCCCGGCTTGGACTTTCGGCTCATCTCTGGCCCCCGTCCGATTATTCAGGGGCTCTCTTCCTCCACTCCACAATCTCGACTGTGGGGAACTTCCGTGTTGCGAGGGCTTCTCAACAGGAAGCTCAGAAACCACCGAGACAGAGAGAGAAAGAGCTGGGTTCCCCGCCGGCTTCGAAATCCCAGTAGCACCCAACCCGGAGGAGGCAGAGGGGTAAACAGACGCCAGGCCCATGTAAGGTTGTACCCTGAACCAACAACCTTATTCAGCCAAGAGAAATCCACAATTTTGGCCCTGAGGTTTTCTGTGCTCAAAATGTATTCTGAAACTCCTGAAAATATAACGTTTGTTTGTTTTGCATTGACACACACCGAACATGTGCTTTATTCTGATGGTTGGACCAGAACCAACGGGCTGAAATTAAATCAGAAGAGTTTTCGGCTAAACATGAGGAAGAACTTCCTGATGGTTAGAGTGGTTCCTCAGTGGAACCATCTGTCAGCAATGCTGATTCTGTGAACTTAGGCAGATCATGAGAGGGAGGGCAGGAAGGGTTGCATCAGTGCTTAGTTCTTGTGACCCTTTTCTGTCAGCAATGCTGATTCTGTGAACTTAGGCAGATCACGAGAGGGAGGGCAGGAAGGGTTGCATCAGTGCTTAGTTCTTGTGACCCTTTCTTACATGCCCAGGGAATGCTGATCGCCACTTTGGGGTCAGGAAGCAATTTTTCTCCAGGCCAGTTTGGCTGGAGATCCTGGAGGTTTTTTGTCATCTTCTGGGCATGGA